CAGGATCCCAGCAGCCTCAGGGATTTGGGGATCCCCTGTGCTCCCTCTGGCAGCCCCCTCCATCACCCCCTGGCGTGGCGGGTTCTCAGAGCCGGGCATACGGGACAGCTTCCCTACCTCCCAACCCACGCTTCCGATCCCTTCCCCATTCCCTCAGACGACTCCGGCGACGAGTCAGTGTCGCAGACAGACAAGACGGAGCTGCAGAACACGCTGCGGATTCTCTCCAGCAAGGTGGAGGATCTGAGCACCTGCAACGACCTGATCGCCAAGCACGGCACAGCCCTGCAGCGCTCGCTCAGCGAGCTTGAGGCCCTGCGCCTGCCCCCCGAGAGCACCGACAAAATCAAGCAGGTCAACGAGCGGGCCACGCTCTTCCGCATCACCTCCAACGCCATGATCAACGTGAGGCCGCTTCCCGAGGGAAAAGTGGCGGGAAAACCGGCGGGAAGCACTCTCACCACTCCCCCCAACCACTCGTGTTTGGGTTTGGTTTTGTCCCTGCAGGCCTGCAGGGATTTCATGCTGCTGGCGCAGACACACGGGAAGAAGTGGCAGAAGTCGCTGCAGCAGGAGAGGGATCAGCGGATCCGGCTGGAGGAGACGCTGGAGCAGCTGGCAAAGCAGCACAACCACCTGGAAAGGGCATTCCGGGGGGCCACGGTGCTCCCTGCTGGCACGCCCGGCACCGGAGGCTCTGGGAAAGGTGGGGTGGGACAAGGCTGCTTTCCCTGAGCTTCCCTCGCTCTGCTGATCCCAAGGGGAGGGGCACCTTGTGTCACCTTGTGTAGCCGAGGGATTTTGGCACTTAAAACTGCTCCTAAGTGGCCCGTCTGAGCCTTGCCTGTGTGCCCCCTGCCTGCTGGTGACAGGGGCCTCCCAGTGTACCACTGGTGGGAAACTGGGGGCAATGTTCCTTCCTTAACAACACTGTCCCCTTCCTAGATCTGTGCTGCCCCTCCAAAGGTGACATGAGCGACGAGGACGATGACAACAACGAGTTCTTTGACGCCCCCGAGATCTTCCCCACACTCGACATGATGGGCCACAAGTGAGTTTTGGGGTCCTCTGGGGAGGGTCCCCACTACCTGGACCTTTTTGGAAATGATCACCTTCTTTTACACCCTTTCCAGGAGAACAGGGAGCAACATCAGTGGCACCAGCAGCGATATCAGCCTAGATGAGCAGGTGGGATGGGAGTTTATGGCTTTGGGGTGGGAACAGGGGTGGGCTGGGGGTCACAGAGGGGTTTTGGGGGGGTCACAGTGATGGAACAGCCCTTGGGGTAAACAGGGCTGGGCTGGGGGTCCTCAGATTTCCACAGAGGGGTTTTGGGGGGTCACAGTGATGGAACAGCCCTTGTCTCCCCCCTTTCCAGTACAAGCACCAGGTTGAGGACACCAAGAAGGAGAAGAGAACCCGTATTCCCTACAAACCCAATTACAGCCTCAATCTCTGGAGCATCATGAAAAACTGCATTGGGAAGGAGTTATCCAAAATTCCCATGCCGGTGGGTGCGGATACTTCTGACGGGTGGGCTTGGGGACCCCAGAAAGCCCCTTTTTTGACCCATTTCTTCCTTGCAGGTTAACTTCAATGAGCCACTGTCAATGCTCCAGCGGCTGACAGAGGACCTGGAGTACCACGACCTCCTGGACCGGGCGGCCAAGTGCGAGAATTCCCTGGAGCAGCTGTGCTACGTGGCCGCCTTTACCGTCTCCTCCTACTCCACCACCGTCTTCCGCACCAGCAAACCCTTCAACCCACTCCTGGGGGAGACCTTTGAGCTGGATCGGCTGGAGGAGAGCGGGTATCGCTCCCTCTGTGAGCAGGTGTGGCCAGCCCCGCTCTCCCAGCCTCTCTTATTCCCTCGGGATGGCCAGCACTGAGCTGTTCCCAATCCCTGTCCAGGTGAGCCACCACCCCCCGGCTGCTGCCCACCACGCTGACTCCAAGCACGGCTGGACGCTCCGTCAAGAAATCAAGATCACCAGCAAATTCCGAGGGAAATACCTCTCCATCATGCCTTTAGGTAAGCATCCCGGGATTTTGGGAGCTGCCCAAGGTTCTGGGTGTGGTTCCCAACACAGCTTTCCCCACTCTCAGGTACCATCCACTGCGTCTTCCACTCATCCGGCAACCACTACACATGGAAGAAGGTGACCACCACCGTGCACAACATCATCGTGGGGAAGCTGTGGATAGACCAGGTAGGAAATCACAGATACAGGAGTGCCCTGGTCCTGTACGGATCCCTTGGGAATGGAGTGTGGGTGGGTCTGACTGTCACCTTGCTTCTGCAGTCGGGTGAGATCGAGATCGTCAACCACAAGACGGGTGACAAGTGCAACCTCAAGTTTGTCCCTTACAGCTACTTCTCCCGGGATGTGGCGAGGAAGGTAGGGAGAGCAGGGAAGCGTGGGACATCCTGGGGTGCCTGCATCCTCATCCGTGCCATCCCCTCTCCCTCCAGGTGACCGGGGAGGTGACAGACCCCTCGGGAAAGGTGCACTTCGTCCTGCTGGGCACGTGGGATGAGAAGATGGATTGCTACAAAGTCCAGCTGGGAACGGGGGACAACGGAGCCGAGGCCCGGTCGCGGGCCCACGAGTCCGAGGACAGCCGAGTGCTGCTGTGGAAGAGGAACCCACTCCCGTGAGTCAGGAATACGGGATGAGGCATATCCCGGGAGCGGAGATGCGGGGCTGGTGCTGAGTTCCCCCCCTTCCCATGCCGCAGGAAGTATGCGGAGAACATGTACTACTTCTCGGAGCTGGCGCTGACCCTGAACGCCCCAGAGAGTGGGACGGCTCCCACGGACAGCCGGCGGCGTCCCGACCAGCGGCTTATGGAAAACGGGCGCTGGGATGAGGCCAACGCCGAGAAGCAGCGGCTGGAGGAGAAACAGCGGCTCTCCCGCAAGCGCCGCGAGGCCGAGGCTGCCCGCGCCTCCGAGGATGGTAAGGAAGGGGTGTCCCCCCCCTCTTCGGAGGCCCCCCAGGTGGCCCCCAGGCCCTGACCCCCTCTGTGTCCCCCAGGGACCCCCTGTGATCCCTACAAACCGCTGTGGTTCGAGCGGAAGAAGGATCCAGTGACACAGGAGCTGGCACACGTCTACAAGGGGGGGTACTGGGAGAGCAAGGAAAAGCAGGACTGGAGCCTGTGCCCGGATATTTTCTGAGCCCAGCGAGGAGGAGGAGCAGCAGGATGGGGGGGATGAAGGCCAGGACCCCCCCCTTCCGTGTCTGTCTTAAGCGCCCGCTGTCCCCGTGCCGGCCGGGCTTTGCCTTAGCCCATCCAAACTGACCTTGGGGAGCGGGAGCCAACACTGCCCCCCCAGAGCCGGGCTGGAACAGGGGGTTCCTTCATCCCACCCGCCTCCCTGGCACTCTGGGGAGGGGGGCATGGCCACCCCCAGGGTAGGGGGGTCCCTGGAGTGAGCCCAAGGCTGGCCTTGGTCTCCCCCCCTCCCCACTTTTCTTCCCGTCCGCCCCCAGGAGTTCGGGTGCTTTTGGGGTACAGGAGGGGCCAGACTCCCCCCCCAGCCTGTTCTATAGGTGTATATTATATATATGTAGAGAGCAATCGGGGTCCCCTGCTCCCCCTGCCCACGGGGAGCCTTCCCCAGCCCCCGCTTTGGGGGGTCCCCCCCTCCCCGGGGTCTCCCCCGCTCACGGGGACCCCCCATGAGGTGCCTTCCCTGTAGGTTTAGGGTGGGCTGGGGGAGCTGTCCTGGGTTTTTGGGGGGTTTGCACCCCCAAACACTACAGGGGTGGGGGGAGGTGGCGTGGGGATCTCTGCATCCCCAAACCTGAAATCGGGGGCTTTTGATGCCTTTTTATTTTTTTTTTTTCCTTTTTTGGGGTTTCTTTTTTTTTTTTTTTTTTTTTGTCCCAAGAAAAGAACTAAATTAAAAATCTGTGAATGCCCCAACCCGGCTGTGCCTGCTCTGGGAGTGGGGGGATCCCCTGCAGCTGATTCTGGGGGGACCCCTTTCTCCTGGGGGGCCCTGATCCCTGCAGGGGATCCTTGCACCCCAAAAAAGGGGGTGGCAGCACCCAAATAGGGACTTGAACCCCTTTCCTGGGGGTCTCCAGGTGCTCCCTCACCACCCAGGTCATGCTGCCCCACGGTGCCTGGGGGAAAGTGGGGGGTGTCCCCTGTGTCCCCCTACATTCCCTGCTGGATTTGGTGTGCTTGGGAGCCCCCCAAGCATCTCCTGCCCCATGCAGGAGATGCTCCATGGTCCTGGGTTCCACCTCCGGTGACTTTCTGGAGTCACCTGGTCGGGGGGATCCCCTGCAGGCACTTCCAGGGATGGGGTGGGGAGTCCTGGGGGGTGACACGGGGGTTCCCCCTCACCCGTTCTGATTGGCCAGCTGGCTTTGGAGACGTGTTCTGATTGGTCAGCGCCGATTGGTTGAGTCCCTGCCCTGCCTGATGCTGATTGGTTGGAGTGACCGTCCTCCGATGTTTTCCCGCCCTCTCCTCATCGGTGAGTGCTGATTATCCAGTTGGTTCGCGGGGGATGCTGATTGGCTGGCTGGTTGCAGCTGGGTCAGACCCAGCCAATGGGAGAGCACGGGTTGGCCCTGTTGCCCCGCCCTTGCCACACCCTCCCTCCCCTCAGGAACGCCCCATGGCACCTCTCCGTGCCCCCCGTGGGACACCCTGTCCCCGAGGTACTGCCCCCTGCCCCCGGGGGTGGCTTGGCATGGCCGAGAATGTGTGTGACCCCACATCCCACCCCTCGTGTGCCCCCGCGTCCCCCCCCATGACCACGAGACATGTTTCTCAAGCTCTGATCTGGGGGGGTTTATTGGGCCCTCCCCGGCCCTGCCACCACCCCGAGGGGCCTCCTGTGGCCGAGGTTCTCACAAGAGCCCCGTTCCCAGCTGCTCCGCTCCAGCTGTTTTCTCTGAGCCCTAATGGTGGCAAAGAGGTTAGGCAGGGGGCAGCTGATGAGGATCTGGGGGGTCTCCTCCTGCCTGGAGGCCCCATTATCGGGACGACAACATCATGACAAACTCTGTGGGGCAAAGAGAGGGGCATGAGAGGAGGGGACCCCACTTCAGTCCCCTGGAAGGGGCATGGGGGTTCCCTCACCATCGAAGTCCACATGCCCATCCCCGTTGAGGTCCACGTCCTGCAGGATCTCATCCACCTCCTGTGCCTTGAGCTGCTCCCCGAGCAGGGCTGCGATGGCCTCGCGCATCTCGGCCGTGCTGATCTCCCCATCCCCGTTCATGTCGAACTGTGGGCTCAGGGTCACCTCTGGCCACGGCCACCACCAGCCTCCCGGGGCCAGCATCCCCTCTGTGCTTGGGGTCACCCCCATTGTCACTGTTCCCTCATGGTCACTGTCTGCTCCCTGCCTGTGGTCACTCGATGATTGCTGTCACCCTGTGGTCCCTGTCCCTTCCATGTCTTTGGTCACCCCTCATGGTCACCATGCCCTCACTGTCACCATCACCTCATGATCTCCTCCTGGTCACTCCCATGGTCACTATCCCTCCATGGCCACCATGCCCCCACGATCTTCTCATGGTAAGTGTCCCCTTCATATCTTTGGTCACCCCCATTGTCACCATCACCCCAAGATCTTCCCATGGTCACTGTCCCATCCGTCCTGTGGTCTTTCCCGTGGTCACTGTCTGCCCATGGTCACTGTCCCCTCTTTACCCTCACGGTCACCATCTCCCCATGGTCACTGTCCCCTCCATGTCCCCATTATCACTGTCTCCCCACCACGGTCTTTCCAGGGTCACTGTCCCCACTGTGCCTGTGGTTGCCTCCTGGAAGTGGTGTCCCCACGGTCCCCCCGTACCTCCCGGAAGGCGATCTTGAGCTCCCTCACGCCCACCATGTGCGCCGTCTCCTCCCGCAGCTTCGGCCCCATCATCTGCACAAAGTCCTCGAAGTCCACGCGCCCGCCCACTATGGTGGCAAAGGGGACACTCTCAGCTCCCCCTGGCCCCCCTGGCCCCCTCCCGGCCCCCCAGGCCCCCGCTCACTCCTCATCTTGATATGCTGGGAGATCTCAATGAGCTCCATCTCGGTGGGCATGTACCCCAGCGTCCGCATGCACTCGCCGAGGTCCTTGTAGCTGATGTACCCGTCCTGGTCCGTGTCGAACTCCTTGAAGGCGTCCAGCAGCTCTGGACACACGGACACACACACACATAGACAGGCATCGCGGCACTCTGGAGCAGGTCAGTTCTTGGATGTGGTGCCGTGGCACGCGGTCCCGTGGCAGTGTCCCCTCACGGCAGAGCGCTCCATGGCCACGTCCACATGGCACTGTCCCCATAGCATTGTCACCCACGGCAGTGCCCCCATGGCAGAGTCCCCCATGGCACAGCGCTCCGTGGCCTGTGTCCCCATGGTGCTGCACCCCTTCGCAGGTCCCTCCATAGTCATGTCCCCGTGGCAGTGTCCCCGTGGCAGACCGTTCCCTGAGGCCGTGCCCCCGCCCCCGCCCGTCTCCTGAAGCCCCCGTCCCCACCCTGTCCCTCCTGCTCACCATCCAGCTCCTCCGGCGACAGCTCCCGCTCCTGGATGGGACACGGTGGGGGGTGACAGCAGAATGAGACCTGGCTCTGTGTCCCCCCCGCCCCCCCCAACCCCCCGTGTCACCTTTGCTAAGCACGGGCCAAAATTAACTCTGGTGGAGGATTAGCGGGATTGGAGGTAAAGCCCCGCCCTGCCCCGTGCCTGTGCCACTGCCCGCCCTCTCCTGGTCCTCATGTCCCCTTCCCTGTCACCCACGCCAGGCTGGCTCAACCCGGGACCCCCAGAATCCGGATGGGATGTGGGTGCTGCCGAGGGGGCTTTGTACTCCGGAGGTGGTAGGGCAAGATGTGTACCCCCAGAGCTTGGCTGCCCCTGCCCATGGTGTCTCCCTGGGGTGTCCTCTCTGTCCCCATGGCCCCGGGGGGTCCCCCAAGCCAACTCTAGTGCCCCCATACCCTCTCTCTCCGCAGGGTTCCAGAGTGTCCCTGAGCTTGTCCCCCGTGCTCCATGTCCCCTCTATCCTCAGGGTTTCAGAGGGTCCCTGTCCCCATTCCCACTGTCCCCATGTCTCCATCCCCAGGATCCCAGAGTGGCCCTGACCATGTCCCCAGTATCCAGTGTCCCCTCAATCCCCAGGGTCCTGGAGTGTCCTCCAAACCCATCCCCACTGTCCCCATGTCTCTGCCATCCCCGGGGTCCTGGAACATCTCCACTGTCCCCATTCCACAGTTCCCAACCCCATCCCCACTGGCCCCCCTGCCCCCTCCATCTACAGCGTCCTTGGATTGCCCCTGTCCCCATCCCTGCTGTCCCCATGTTCCCATCCCCTCTGTCCCCACTATCCCCATGTCCCCTCCATCCCCAGCATCCCAGAGTGTCCCTTACTATGTCCTTGATGTCCCTGTCCCCCTGCTCCTTCCCATGTCCTGGACTGTTCTTGTCCCATCCCCACAGTCCCCACATCCTCTCCATTCCCAGGCTCACAGAGTGTCCCTATGTCCCCATCCCCAGTCTCCCCAAAGTCCCTGTCTCCCTTCCATCTGCAGGGTCCCAGAGTGTCCCTGACCATGTCCCCAGTGCCCCATGTCCCTTCCACCCACAGGGTCCTGGACTGTCCCTGTCCTCATCACCACCATCCCCATGTCCCCATCCCCAGTGTCCCCTTCTCCCTCCACCCACAGGATCCTGGACTGTCCCTGTCCCCATCCCCACTGTCCCCACATCCCCTTCATCCCTGGGCTCCCTCCATCCCTGCACTCACCCCCATGTCCCCATGTTCCCTCTGTCCCCGTCCCCCTCTGTGTCCCCACCTTGCCGAAGACGGTGTTGAGGAAAGGGGAGTAGGTCTTGGTGGCCGCAGCGTGGGGGTCCACGGGGCCCTTCTTGCCGCTCTTCTGCCCGTGGCTGCCGTGCCGGGACTCGGAGCCGGAATTCTTGTGGGCCGGGGCCTCCTCGGGGGCTTGGGGGGGTTTCTCCCCCGCCTCGCCCCCGCCTTTCTCCTTCTGCGGGGGCTCCGTGTCCTTGGGGGTCCCCTTGTCCCCGCGGGTGCGTGGCATGTGGCCGGGGCCGGGTGGGCAGCAGGGAGCAGGACCCCGGGATGGCCGAGCTGGAGGAAGGAGCCGGGAAATCCTCTTACACGGCCCCCTCCTTGACCCCCCCCACCCGCCTTCCACCCCCCTGCGTGGGTTCCCGGGCCCAGCAGGGCAAAGCCAATTAGGGGTGATTAACGGCAGGAAACAGCCATGGCCACCACCAGCCCGGGGCAGGGCCACATGGCCACCGCGCCATGGCCACCAGAGGGGTCCCCACACATCTCCTGGGGGTCACCCACCGAGGACCTTGCAAGGGAAGTCTAGTGGTGACACCTCAAGGCCACTGCAGTGTCCCAAGACCAACCCACATCCCCAGTGGTGACATCCCAAGGTCACGCCACCCCTGTCCCCTCACCTGGAGCCTCCCCCTGAGCTCTCCCCACTCCTAAGGTAGGTCCTACATTATTTACCACCTTGTGCCACCTGCCACTGTCACCCCGTGCCAACCACTGGCGCTGTCCACGGGGACCGTACCTCACGGCTGATCCTGTCCACAGGGTGACCCTGTCCCACAGGTAACCTTGCCCATGGGGAATGTACCCCATGGGTGACTCTGTCCAGGGGGACCCTGTCCAAGGGTGATCCTGTCCCATGGGTGACCCTGTCCATGAGGTGACCCTGTCCATGGGGTGACCCTGTCCCAAGGGTGATCCTGTCCCATGGGTGACTCTGTCCATGGGGTGACCCTGTCTTACAGGTGACTGTCTATGGCGTGACTCTGTCTATGGGGTGCCCCTGTCCATGGGGTGCCCCTGTCCATGGGGTGACCCTGTCCCACGGGTGCCCCTGTCCCGCGGGTGACCAAGCCAGAGGTGTCCCTGCCCAGGGGGTGCCCTCCACCGCCCGGCGGCTCCGCAGGGTCCCGATGTCCCCCGGTCCCCCTCGCCCCCCGTCCCGGTGCGCACGCGCGGGGCGGCCCCGATCACTTCCTGCCCCGCCCCCGCCGCTGCAGCCGCCGCTGCCGACCCCGGCACCGGCACTGGGCACCGACTCGGGCACCCCCGGGCACCGACCCGCCGGTGAGTGCGGGCACCGACCCGCGGGGTTCCCCCCGTCCGCCTTCCCGGAGGGGCAGCCCCGTCCCCGTTCCCGGCGGGGCCACCCCCGTCCTTCTCCCCATCCCAGTCCCCATCCTGTCCCCAACCCTGACCCCATCCTTGCCCCTGAACTCGTCCCTGTGCTCACGCCCAGCGGGGCCACCTCTGTCCACGTCCCGTCCCTGTCCCCATCCCCGTCCCTGTCCCCATCCCTACCCTTGTCCCCATTCCTATCCCCATACCGAGTGGTGCCACCACCAGCCCATTCCCGACCTTTTGCATCCCCATCCTTGTCCCTGTCCCCATCCATGTCCCTCCTCACTGTCCCTGTACCAAACGAGGCCACCACCATCCTCATTCCTGAGCACTCCCCCGTCCCTATCCCTGTCCCCATCACTATCCCCATACCCAGCAAGGCCACCCCCGTCACCATCCCTGACCCCCGTCCCTGACCCCTTGTCCCACAGGACCACCCCTTTTCCCACCCCTGTCCCCATAGCCAGCCAGAGCCACCTCTGTCCCCATCTCCATCTCTGTCCCCATCCCATCCCTGTCCCCTGACCCACTGGGCTGTCCCTGTCCCTCTTTCTGTCCCCACCCCTCTACCCAGGGGGACATCCTCGTCCCTATGCCTGTCCCCATCCCAGGTGGCCTGTCCCCCTCAGAGACTCCCTTCCAGGGGTGCCCCCTGAGCCCTCCCTGAGTGGCCAGGCAGGGAGGTGGGTGTGTGGGGTGTGTGTCCTGATTCCCGGTTCTGGGAGTGGCTGAGCTGCCCTTTACCCAGGGCAGAGGACAGTGACAAGTTCGGAGCAGGTGCCACTTCCTTGGTGGCCCTGCCCCTTGTTTTGGGGTGTCCCTGTGTGCCTGAACGTGACTCCGGGGACTCCTCCCCAGCCATGTCATTCCGGAAGGTTGTGCGGCAGAGCAAATTCCGGCATGTGTTTGGGCAGCCGGTGAAGACAGAGCAGTGCTACGATGACATCCGTGTGTCCCGTGTCACCTGGGACAGCACCTTCTGCGCCGTCAACCCTTCCTTCGTTGCCATCATTGTGGAGGCCAGCGGCGGTGGCGCCTTTCTTGTCCTCCCCTTGCACAAGGTGACACCTGGGGGGTGACACTGGGGAACCAGGGAGGTCTGTGCTAGCGGGTGACACCTGTGATGTCCCTTTGTCCCCAGACCGGCCGCATCGACAAGTCGTACCCCACCGTGTGCGGCCACACGGGCCCCGTCCTCGACATCGACTGGTGTCCCCACAATGACCACGTCATTGCCAGTGGCTCTGAGGACTGCACTGTCATGGTGAGGGGGTGCTGAGGGGAGCTGGGGGGCGTCCCTATCCCTGTCCCCGCTTTGCTCAGTGTCCCCCCTGTCCCCTCAGGTGTGGCAGATCCCGGAGAACGGGCTGAGCCAGCCACTGACAGAGCCGGTGGTGGTCCTGGAGGGCCACTCCAAGCGTGTCGGCATCGTCACCTGGCACCCCACCGCCCGCAATGTGTTGCTCAGCGCAGGTACGGGGGGGCCGCAGCAGGGACACAGGGGTGGGGGGGTCACGTGGCCGAGGTGACCCCTGTGGTGCCCCCCAGGCTGTGACAACGTGGTGCTGATCTGGAACGTGGGCACGGCAGAGGAGCTGTACCGGCTGGAGGGGCTGCACCCCGACCTCATCTACAGTGTCAGCTGGAGCCGCGATGGCTCCCGCTTCTGCACCGCCTGCAAGGACAAGAGCGTCCGTGTCATCGACCCCCGCCGCGGCACCGTGGTGGCTGTGAGTGTCCCCACCCCTCCGGGGCACTGTCACCCTGCCCATGTCACCGGGGCACCGTCCTGCACTGCTTCTCGGGGGAGAATGCCCTACTCGCTGCCCTGGTCCTCTGGTGGGCTCTGTTGTCCCTTGGGTGCCCCTGTACCTTGTCCTCGTCCCACAGTGCTCCCTTTTCTCCCATGTCTCTGGGGTGCTCTTGTCTCATGGTTCCTTACTGTCCCTTCGTGGCACCTGTCCCTTGGTGCTTCTCACTCTCCCGTGTCCCTTGGGAGCTACTGTTCCCTGCTTCCTAACTTTCTTCCCTGCTGCTCCCTGCCCTCGTCCCCTTCTACTCCCCATGGTTCCCTGTTTTTTGGGTGACCCTGTCCTCTGCTCCCTGTCCTTGTTGCAGGGTGCTCCCCAGTGTCCCATGCACTCCCTGCCTTTGTCCCCCACTGCTCCCTGCCCTTGTTCCCTGCTCTTCCCCACCGTTCTGTATACCTCGGGCGCTCCTGTCCGCTGTTCTTGTCCCCTTGTGCTTCTCACTGTCCCTTGTGCCCTGCCTTTGTCCCGTGCTGCTCCCCAATGTCCCATGGGACGCACCCTGTCCCCTGCTCCCTGCCCTTGTCCCCAGATGTCCCCTGCTGTCCCCCTGTCCCTGCCCTTGCCATGGGGCTGTGGCCCCGCTGACCTCGCCATCGTCCCCCAGGAGAAGGAGCGGGCGCACGAGGGGGCACGTCCCATGCGTGCCATCTTCCTGGCCGACGGCAAGATCTTCACCACTGGCTTCAGCCGCATGAGCGAGCGGCAGCTGGCACTGTGGGACATGGTGAGTGGCACCCCAGGGGTCCCGCGGGACTGCTGTGGGGGTCCGTTTGTGCCTCACACCCCCACCCCACTGCAGGAGAACCTGGAGGAGCCCATGGGGCTGCAGGAGCTGGACTCCAGCAACGGGGCTCTGCTGCCCTTCTACGACCCCGACACCAACGTGGTCTATGTGTGTGGCAAGGTACAGTGATCCCCCACCCTGCTGATGGCCCCCCCAAACCCCCGGGACCCCCCTAACAACGTGTCCCCAGGGGGATTCGAGCATCCGGTACTTTGAGATCACGGAGGAGCCCCCCTACATCCACTTCCTCAACACCTTTACCAGCAAGGAGCCCCAGCGGGGAATGGGCTGGATGCCCAAGCGTGGGCTGGATGTCAGCAAGTGTGAGATCGCCAGGTGGGTGTGGGGGACATGGGGGACAAGGTGAGGGAGCCCCTCAGTGCCCTCAGGCTCCCCTGTGACCCCCTGTGCCCCCCTGGCAGGTTCTACAAGCTGCATGAGCGCAAGTGTGAGCCCATCATCATGACGGTGCCAAGGAAGGTCTGTGGGGACGGGGGGTGTGGAGTGGGGGGCTCTGGGCAGGGGGAGGTGGATGGGTGGAGGTCCCCATCGGGCTGTAAGGGATCCCTGGGCAGGTCATGGGGGCTGGGTGTGGGACCCTATGGGGGTTGTGTGGGGTCTCTGGGCAGGAAAGGGGGATTGGATGGGGGTCCCCATGAGGTTTGTGTTGTCCCTGGTGACTGGGTGGGGGTTACCCCATGGGATTCATGGTGGATCTCCTGGCAGGACATGATGTGTGGGTGGAGGTCCCCATGGGGGCCGTGTGGGTGTCCCTGGGTGTAACACAGTGCCTAGGAGTGTGGGCTCCCCCTGAGTGTCCCCCCACGCTGACTGTGGGCGGGGGGCAGTCGGACCTGTTCCAGGACGACCTGTACCCAGACACAGCAGGCCCGGAGGCGGCCATGGAGGCGGAGGAGTGGGTGGCAGGGCGCACGGCGGGGCCAGTGCTGGTGTCCCTGCGCCAGGCCTACGTGCCCCCCAAGCAGCGCGACCTCAAGGTGAGCCGGCGGGCGCTGCTGCACGATGGCCGTGCCCCTCCTGCCACCGTTGCCACCGGGGCCACCACAGCACCCCCCACGCCCCCGGCGGCCCCTGCACCCACCCGGCTCAGCACACCCCTGGCCCTGGGAACGCTGGGAACTGGCACCGCCACGGTGAGGGGGGAGTGGGCGAGGTGGGGGTGGGAGGGGGCTGCGGGAGGTGGGGTCTGCATGGGTGTGGTCACTGTGGGATGGGCCAGGGGCTGGGTGGGGCGATGGGATGGGTGTGTTTTCTGTGTGTGGGGCTGTGAATTAGGTGTGGTCTGTGTGGATGGGGCCATGGAGTGGGTGTGGTCTGTCAGTGCAGCTGTGAAGAAGTGTGGTCTCTGGGTGGAGCTGTGACATGGGTGGGATATTCAAAATGGGCATGGCAGCAGCCACGTGGGTGGGCGGGGCCATTTGACACAATGGGCGTGTTCATAGTGGGTGTGTCTAAATTTGGGTGGGGCAGGAGGGTCTGCAATAGGGGACTGGGGGGGTGTGGTTTGGATGTGACCAGGGTGGGAGCAGAGGCACAGGCAGGCTGGGCCGATGGGCCGGGCTGGGTGTGGTGGGTGTGGCCATGGATGGAGCTCTGATAGGCGTGTCCCATGTGGGCATGGCTCACGGTGGGGGGGGTGTTATCCCTCAGGGGGGCCGGCTGGAGGAGGTGCTGCAGGAGGTGGCAGCGCTGCGGGCGCTGGTGGCTGAGCAGGGCCAGCGCATTGACCGCCTCGAGGAGCAGCTCAGCCGCCTTGAGAATGGCCACGTCTAGGGACCCCCTCAGGGACCACCGCCCCATGGACCACGCCTGCGCCCCAGGGACCCCCTCCCCTGCACCCTTCCACCCCTGGGGTGCCCCCCCTGCCCCGCTCTGGGTCCTTCTCCCCTTGGGGGGCTCCCCCCCCTCACTGCCTTACTGGGTGCTGCCCCCCTCCCCAAATCATGGACCATTCCCAACCCCGTGTCCTCAGGCTCGGGGTTGCTCCTGGGATCAAACATTGCCACCTGCACCCCCCAATCCCTGTGTGGGGTCTCCTGCCCCTCTTCCTGTGGGGTAGGGCATGATCTGCTCCATCCCCAACTGTGAAATATTGTCCCCCCTATATTTTGGGGGCTTCATCCCCCCCTTCTTCCTCCTTATTGCATCCACTTCTCCATTCCAGTGCAGGGTCAAAAACTATATTTTCACTCCAAATAAAGGATTTATAAGAAAGATTCTGGGGGCTGTGGGGGACTGGGGAGGTGGGGGACTTGGGGGAATGGTTGTGGGGTTAGAGGACTCTTTTTGGAGGTGGCAGAGAGCTCTGAAGGCTGCAGGTGCCACCTGTGAGAGGTGACAATGCGGGGGCACAGGAAGGTGCGGTGGTCACGGGTGGGAGCTCAGCGCCTCAGGCAGGAAGTGGGGGTACACGAGGGGGCATTTTGGGTAGGGAGGGTGTTGGGGGGTGCAGCACCTCCCCTCCCCCCGCTCTGAAACATCCGCTGTGCGGGGGCAGGAAGTTGGGGGGGGCTCCCCCCCCATCTCAGTGCGCGCCCGCGGCATCAGGACCCGCTCCAGCAGAACCCACTGATGGTGAGCACCCCAAAAACAGGCAGGGAGGGACATGGTGGGGCTGGGGACACGGGGGGGGGGATACAGGGAGGATCCCCCAAATTGAGACTGAGCTGGTGGCAGTGTGGATTGCTCTCCAGTCTCAGTTTCCCCTGTGAAACGTGGAGGGGGGGGGAGGGGGTGGCTGAGTTTCATTCAAATTTGGGTACGTCCAAATTTGAGGTGTGGGAGGGCAGCCATGGAGGGTCCCTGGGCAGGTTCCCCTTCCATAGTTTGGTGTGGGGCACAGGGTCTGGTGGTGCTGGAGCTGGGAGGGTAGGGGAGCAGGTTTTGGGGGTTGAGGAGTGGTTTGGGGGGGCTCAGGAGCAGGATGGGGTAGGGGAGGCAGGTTGAGGGGAACACAGTGGGGTTGAGGGAGGTTTGGGGGTTTCAGGGGAGCATGGTGAGGTTGGGGAGCAGGCTGGACGGATTGGAGGAGTGTGGTGGGAGCAGGTTTGGGGAGATCAGAGCAGTATGGGGGTGTTTGGATACTGGTGGGAGAAGGGGAGCATGGAGGGCTTGGGGGGCAGGTTGGGGGCTTCAGGGGAGCACAGTAAGGTCAGAGATGTGTGTTGGGGGCGGTCAGGGTATTGTGGTGAGTTCAGGGGGGCAGGTGGGGAAGTAAATGAGCATGGGGTAGCTAAGGGGCAGGTTGGGGGGATTAAGGGAGCACACTGGGGTTGGGGAGCAGGGTGGGTGTGTTGGGGGAGCAGAGTGGGGTTCGGGGGCAGGTTAGGGGGATCAGGGGAGCATGGTGAGGTTGGGAGGGCTCAGGCTGTCAATGGTAGGGTTGGGGTCTCTGGTGAAGGCTGTGAATGCCAAGTTTGGGGGGGACCCTAGAGCTCTGGCGGGGGGTTCTATGGGGCTGCAGCACTATGGGAAGGGGTGAGAGGTACAGGGGGGAAGCCGTGCAGCCTCATGGGGTGGCAGGACCCTGCTCCTCTGCCCCAGCACCTGCAGGTGCCACAGCACCCACCGCCCACGGCTTCCCATCCCTGCCACGGGGGTCACCTCCCCCTTCCCTGTCCCTTGTCCCCTGCCCCCTGTCCCCACCGCCCTTCGCCCCGGGCCCTTCCCAGCTCCGGGAAGGCCTGGGCCTCGTGCCAGGCACACGGAGATAACCCCTGCCCTCACCCTCAGGCTGGCCCGTGGTGGCACCCAGTGCTGCTGGTGCTGGCTGGGCCAGTGGCTGCCGGGGACCCCGCGGGGGCCCCCAGCGACCAGGCGGTGGGCGCCCTGGTGGGGGTCCTGCTGTGCCTGGTGCTGGGGCTGGCGCTGGCCTGGCACCACCTGTGCCGCCTCTCGGCTGGCCAGTACCACCCGCGGCCACTTGGGCGCCGGGCGCTGGCGCTGCTGCGGGGCCGGTGGCACCGGCTGCGGGCGCTGGGGGACCCCGCCGAGGCATCCGGGGACGCCGACACAGAGGTGGCTGTGAGGGATGAGGATGAGGAGCTGATGCCGTGGAGCCTGGAGAGGAGGCCAGAGCGGCAGGAGGAGGAGGAGGAGGAAGAGGAGGAGAAGGAGGAGGAGGAGGAGGAGGAAGAGCAGGAGGTGGCGAATGAAGACGAGGACGAGCAGGAGGCCGAGGCGTCCCCAGCCCTGGAGGGCAGGGAGAGCCCCCTGTGTGGGGGGCGGGGGGCAGGGGGCAGCGCCGAGGCCTTGCTCAGTGACCTGCACCCCTTCTCGGGGACAGCAGCCTGGGAGGACACGCGGCCAAACATCACCGCCTTGTGACGTCGTCGCCGTGACGTCGCTACCCCGTGATGCTACTGCCACAAGATGTCACTGCCCTGTGACATCACATCCTTGTGACAACCCTGTCCTGCGATGTCAGCACCCTCTGATGTTACCTCGATGCTCCTCCCATCTGATGTCACCGTGCTGGGATGTCACCATCCGGCGATGTCATCTCGTTCTGACACCCCTATCCTGCCATGTCATCCCCCCGGATGTCACGTGCTCGTGATGTCACCGCCCTGCCAGCAGAGGGACCCCTTCTCTGCCCCCGCCTGCCCCCAGCAGAGGCTCCTGGTTGGCTGCGTGCGCCTGGGCACCAGCCAATAAAGAGCAGCTCTGCCCAATTTTGGCTGCCTGGGTAAGCTTGGGAAAGGGGGGTGGCATTAAAGGGATGTGGCACCACACAAGGGGTGGAGCCTGAACTCCACCCTCCCAGGGCAACCCTCCCCCCCACCCCCCTGCCATGGGTCCTAGGACCCCATCCCCAGCACAGGGACCACCATGGCCTCGGCAAGTCCTTTAATTGGCACGCGTCCAGCATCGGGGCCACGCCCCCAGGGGCCACACCCCTGGGCAGGCCCCCTGTGCCCCCCAACCCAGCAGGCAGGGGGACTGTGCTGGAGGAGGGGCTGAACTCCCCGGAGCAACAGCAGCACCATGGGGTCCCCCCCACACCATGGGGGGCACCAGGCCCCCCCTCTGCCCCTCCCCACCCCCCCACCCCTACCTGGGCACCCGACCCCGGCCCCCCTTCTGCTTCTTGACCCCCCCGGAGGGTTTGATGGGCAGGGGGGCCGTGCCCTCAGGTGGGGGGGCCTGGGGAGGTCCCAGCTCCATAGGGTCCCCCGGGACCACCGGCTTGAATGCCTCGAACGGAGAGAACTTCACAGGGCTGGGGGGGACACAGTGGAGGGTGAGAGGGGCACCCATGTTGGGGGAAGGGGGCAGCCAATGCCCCTCCCCAGCCCTGAGGGCACCATGCCCCCCTCATATTCCATGAACCTTTCCACTGGACCTCCACCCACTCTCTTTCCCCCTTGGTGCCACCCTGACGCCCCCATCCCAAAACCCCCCACTCCCCCCATTCACCCCCTGAGCCCTCCCTGGCCCCCCAGTACCTGACAGGGGTACGGGGGCTGCTGTTGAGGCGTCGGGGTGAGCGCACCTTGGGCTGGAAGGAGAACCCCTCCTTGATGCTCTCCAGCACTGAGGGGGCCACATAGGTGAAGCCCTGCGGGTTTTAGGGGTGTCAGCAGGGGGTTAGGGGTGCTGGGGGTTGCCCCCCCAAGCTGTGCCCCCCCTACCAGGAAGGCCTGGTTGGCACTTTCACTGATGGCAGCATCGTCAGGGCTGTCAACAGGGGTCTGGCGGGTGAAGCGGGTGTCGAACTGGCTCACGTCCTCCTCTGACTGCTGTGGGGACATGGTGGGTGCTCCCACGGGACCCCCCAAAACACTCCCTGCCCCCCTCTGCCCACCCTCCATACCAGGCAGGGTTTGAAGGGGGGATCCAGCCGGCGTGCCAGCAGGTCCTCCCAGTTGACGTGGCGGAAGAAGGGTTGTTTCTGTGGGATTGCGGTGTGTCAGGCAGGACAGGGGGGGTCCCACCCACCCCCTGCCCACCCCTGTACCTGCACATCGGCTGCGTCCCCTGGGCCCCCCCCCACCCGCTGGTTGGGGTTTCGCTTGAGGAACTGGAAGAGAAACAGGGATGGAGACAGGAATGGGAGAGGTGTTTTGGTAGAATCTGCTTAAATAAAGGGTGGGAGGAGGTGAGGGAAGTCTGGGGGGGCACCTTCTTGAGGAGGTCGCGGGCGTCGGGGGTCAGGTAGGGCGGCAGCACCAGTTTGCCCTTGAGGATCTTGTCGATGGTCTTCTTGCGGTTCTCGGCGGTGAACGGGGGCTAAGAGAGGCATCACGTGGTGAGGGAAAGCCAGCGGGGTGAGAAAGGCTCGGAGTCAACCAGGTGGGGACCCCCAAAACCACCTCTGGGACTCCTCACCTAATGACCCCCAGGGAGGAAGGAGCAGGAGTGAGACTTGCTGATCCTGTGAGTATCAGGGTGCCCTGACTCCTCCTGTCAGGGACCCATCTCCAGGACCCCCACCACCTTCAGAACCCTCCCCTCCAGCTCTCAGACCCCCTAGTGCCCCAGGGAGGAAGGAGCAGGAGTGGGACTTGCCGATCCGGTGAGCATGTCATACATCAGGGCTCCCAGGCTCCACCAGTCCACTGCCCGGTTGTGCCCGCTCCTCACCAGGATCTCAGGGGCCCTGGGAGGAGCAGGGGGGTCCCTGAGTGCATGGGGGGCCATGGTAGACCCCCCCCAACACCCCCCAAGTGCTGCATCCACCTCACATGTACTCAATGGTGCCGCAGAAGGTGTGGGTGACGGCTCCATCATGGATCGACTCCTTGCACAGCCCGAAATCCGTGAGCTTGACGTGACCTGAGGGAGATGGGGGGCTCAGCACCATCCCTGGAGAACCCCTAAGCCCCCCAGATCCCCCCCAAGCCCACCTTGGCTGTTGAGCATGATGTTCTCTGGCTTGAGGTCCCGGTAGATGATCCCATGGGAGTGCAGGTGACCCAGAGCCAGCGTGATCTCGCTCAGGTAGAAACTGGGGCGGGACAGGGGAGGCTGAGAGGGGTGTTGGGGTGCCCACTCCCCTCTGCAAGCCCACCACTACCACCTTCCCAGCCCTACCAGGCAGTGTCCTCCAGGAAGATTCCCTCCCGCTCCAGCTGCATGAAGAGCTCTCCACCTGCAAAGAGAGCCTGAGTTGGACCCCCTGAGCCATCCCTGGAAACCCTTTAGCCATCCCTGGGACCCCCTGAGCCATCCCTGGGACCTCCTGAGCCATCCCTTGGGACCCCTTTAGCCACCCCTAGGATCCCGTGAGCAATACCTGGACCCCCCCAAGCAATCCCCTGGGACCCCTTTAACCACCTCTGCACCCCCCTGAGCCAACCCTGGAACACTGTGAGCCATCACTGGATCCCCTGAGCCATCCCTGGGACTACCTAAGCCATCCCTGGGACCCCATGAACCATCCCTGAGACCCTCCCTAAGCCATCCCTGGACTTCTGGCTGCCTGGCCACCCTTCCCTCACCACTGAGGCACTCCAGGATGAGGTAGAGCTTGCCGCCTGTCTGGAAGGCGTAGATGAGGTCGACGATGAAGGGGTGCTTGACGGCCTCCAGGATGTTCCTCTCTGCCCGTGTGTGCGCCGTGTCCTTGGCGTTGCAGGCGATCTTGGCCTGGGGAGGGGGTGGGTGCAGAGTTTGGGGGGTCCCCTGGGGGGCTCGGGGGGGGGGCCGGGTGTAGCACTACCTTCTTCAGGACCTTCATGGCGAAGATCTTCCCCGTGTTGGTGCCCTGGACTTTGCGGACCTGGAACACCTGGGAGGGCGGGAAGGGAGGGTTGGGGATGCTGTCAAGCAGCACTGGAGCCCCTCCCAGGGTCCCCTCAGCCCGCTGTGCCCCCACCTTGCCATAGCCCCCCTTGCCCAGGACACGGAGCAGCTCGAAGCAGCTGGGGCCGATGTGCTCGGGGCCATTGTTGACACTGCTCTCCGAGATCTCAATCTCTTCGTAGTGTCCCACCGGTCTGGGGGGAGAGGGGTGAGCAGGGATGGACCCCCTCCCTGTCCCCCCCTCCCCTGCCTGCCCCCCCACTTACTCCAGGCCGTTCCCCCGCGGCTCCAGCTCCATCTCCTGTGGGAGGGGACCCACAGTCAGTGGAGGGCGGGGAAGGCACCGTGGGCAGGGGGCAGCTGCAGGCAGGGGACACATGGCAGGGAGGGGACAGGCAGTGGGATGGCAGGGATGCAGGAGACCCGTGGCAGGCAGGGGACTCGTGACAGGCAGGGGACCCATGGTGAGATGGCAGGCAGGTAGAGAACTCACGGCAGGCAGGGGACCCACGGCAGCAGGGAGGGGACACATGGCAGGGAGGGGACCCACAACAGCAGGGAGGGGACACATGGCAGGGAGGGGACCCAGGACAGGAAGGGCGCCCATGGCAGACACGACACGAGCGGGACACGGGCAGGACACGGACAGCGCGGGGCGAGGCAGCGCCGAGCCGGCTCTGCCGGATGTTTTGAGGCCGAGGCCGGGCCCTGCCCAGCGGGAGCCGCCCGCTGCCCGGCCGGGACCCGCGGCTGCCCCCGGTGCCGCACGACAGCTCCCGCCCCGCCACCGGTGGGATCCCCGTCCCTGTCACTGTCGCTGCCGCTGCCTCGCAGCCCCCCGCCCGCCCTGCCGGGCACCGAGCGTGTGTCCTCCCCGTGTGTCCCGGTAGCCGCGCTCCCGCTGTTCCCGCCGCGTCCCCGTTCCGCGCCCCGTCCCGATCGCGGTGCCCCGCGTCCCCGCGGCGCCGCCCCCGCCCCAGCCTGCGCTGGGGGTCCCGATCCCGGCGTGCCCCTCCTCGTCGTCCCCCTGCCCGCGCCCCGGGGTGGGCTCACGGTGCCCAGCTCGGGCTCGTCCCCGTCGCTGCCCTCCTCGGTCTCCAGGTCGATGTCGAACACCCCCGCCATAACTGCGCCGCACGGGGCCCCCCCGGGACCCGCCCCGCGGACCCGCCCCACGGACACGCCCCGCTCGCGTCACTGGGGCGTGCCCCGGTGTCCCCGGTAAGGGGGGACGCAGGGACCGCGGGTCCCCGGGGATGACGCAGAGACAAGGACAAGGGCAGAGCCGCTCACAGCCTTTACTGGGGGTCGCCCTGGCCCGGGCCCGCCCGCGCTGCGCCACCGTGACGTCAGCGGGGCCGCCGTGACGTCAGAGGAGGGGGTAGGAAGGGACGGGGAGAGCCCACCGCGGCCAACGCCCCCTCCCCGCCACGAGTGGGCCTGGGGCGCACTGGTGGTGGTGTAGAGTCACTGGTGTTATTGTAGCGTCGTGGGGGCTGTGAGGGCTGGGTGTTATTGTAGGGTCTCTCGTGTTATTGCAGGGTCTCAAGCACTACAGGGGCTGGGTGTTATTGTAGGATCTCTGGTGCTATTGTAGAGTTGTGGGGGCCATGGGGGCTGGGTGTTATTGTAGGGTCACTCGTGTTATTGCAGGGTCTCAAGCACTATAGAGGCTGGGTGTTATTTTAGGGTTGTGGAGGCTGGGAGTTATTGTAAGGTCACTAGTGTTATTGTAGGGTCAAGGGTGCTACAGGGGGTGGGTGCTATTGTAAGGTCACTAGTGTTATTCTAGGGTCTCAGGCACTACAGAGCCTATGTTGGTGTTATTGTATGGTCTCTGGTGTTATCGTAAGGTCTCCCCAGTGACAGCCCTGTATATCACAGGGGCTCCCCACACAAGTTTCTTCCCAGAGGGTCTTCCCAGCTGCTCCAGGCAATCCGTGGGAACCCCTTTGTTACTGCAGGGTCTCCCCACAGTGGTCTGTCATTGTGGTTTTGTCCCATGCTGGTTTGTTATTGTAGGGTCTCCCCTTCCAGGGTGTTACTGTGGGGCCTCCCCTCACCTGTCTGTTACTGCAGGGTCTCCCCATTCTGCTTTATTATTATAGTGTCTCCCCATGATGGTTTGTAATTTGTGAGGTCTCCCCTTCCAAGTGTGTTGTTGTGGGGTTTCCCCTTCCAAGTGTGTTATTGTGGGGTCTCCCCTTCCAGGTGTGTTGTTGTGGGGTCTCCTTACGTCAGTCTGTTATTGCAGAGTGTTCCCACACTGATTTGTTATTGTGGGGTCTCCCCACGCTGGTGTGTTATTGTAGGGTCTCCCCATGCCAGCAGGTGCCAACACACCTCAGGCTACCCCTGCTGCTCAGGTGAGGTGGCTCAGGTGCCTCTGGGTGTCCCCTGGCTTCCCCCCTGCTGTGGGATGGCACAAGGACACTCGGTGCCCCCTGAGTGTCCCTGGCATGGGAGGGGCACGGGACCCCCGGCTGCAAGGATGGGGGCGATGGGGGAGGAAGGCAGATGCTGTAGAGCGGGGAATGGGGGTGTCAGGGCAGGGGGATGGGGTGTTAGGGGAGTGGGGGAATGGCAGAGCATGGGGTGGCAGGCCATGTTGGGAATGTCAGGGAATGGTGGAACAGGACATGGGGTGCCTGGATTGGGAGAGGGGGGTTTTAGGGGAAGGGGTAATGGCATAATGGAGGGATGACAGGGACGGGGGTGCCTCAGAAATGGGGGCGATGCCAAGGAATGTAGTGCCAGGATGGAAGGGGATGCCAGGGAATGTGGTGCCAGGCCATGGAGGATGCCAGGGGATGGGATAACTGAGTAATGGGGGGATGCCAGGAAATGGGGTGTTAGGGGAGGGGGTGGGTGTCAGGCAATGGGGTACCAGGGCAGGTGATTGGGATCCAGGGCAGAATAGGGGTGCCAGGCGTGGAGTGTCAGGTTAATGGGGGGATCCCTGTGGATGGGGGGTCAGGATGCCAGGGGATGGGCAGTCAGGGAAGTGGGTGGATGCCAGGACGTGGGATACCAGGGCAGGTGATTGGGATCCAGGGCAGCGGTGGGGGGTGCCAGGGGACGGTGTGCCAGGCCACGGGATGATGGGGCGGGGTGCCGGGGAGCGAGGCAGCGGGAGGGGGTACCAGGGCGGTGGGTGAGCGTCCCCCGCGCCCTGCTTTCCCCTGCCGTCCCCGCTGCCTGCCCGGCGCTATTTGAAGTGAGACAGGAAATGCTCCACGGGGTATCTCGGGGAGTCGATGCCCAGCGCCTGGCACAGCCCCAGCAGGCGCACGCAAGCCTCCGCCCGCGTCGCCCCGTCACACGCCACGCTCAGCAGCGGCTCCTCGTACTCGCCGTCCCCCGCCACCTCCTCGAAGAGCCGGTTGAGGCGGACGAGCCCCCGGCCCTGCAGCTCCCGCAGCGCCTCCATTCCGCCGCCGGTTGCCAAGGCCGCGCCGTGCTCCGAGCCCAGGCACATCACTCCCGCCAGGTGGGCGCGGGGCGCGGGGCGGGCGGGCAGCACCGGTGGCACCCCCAGCGCCACCAGCACCGCCGCCAGCAGCAGGTCGGGGCCGTAGACCTCCCGGATCCAGTCGCGCAGGTAGAAGCCCCCCATGCGGGGGTTGATCTCCAGCAGTCGCGGGCCCCCCGGCCCCAGCTTGAGCTCCACGTTGAAGACGCCGTCGCGCAGCCCGCACGCCCGGCAGCACTGCAGGGCCGCTCGCACCAGCTGCGCCTGCCGGTCGGCGGGCAGGCAGGAGGGCAGGCAGGCCGCCGTCTCCAGGAACGCAGGGACGCGCGTGGGGCCGTTGTCCGACACCCAGGCGCCCACGAGCCGCCCGTCGAAGACCACCAGGTCCACGTCGTGCTCGGTGCCCGGCACGTACTCCATGAGCAGCATGGCGTTGCCCCAGCCCAGCCCGATGCCCGGGTGGTCGGCGTCATCCCGCAGGTCCCGCCACAGCCTCGCCGCGTGCGCGTGGCACTGCCCGGCGTCCTCCACCAGCCGCACCCCCACTCCTCCGGCCCCGAACTCCAGCTTGGCCACGGCCGGGAAGGGCACGGCGCCCGCCGCCCGCTCCACGTCGCCGTGGCTCTGCAGCCGGCGGCAGGGCACGGCGAAGGCGGCGGGCGGCGGGCGGCCGCGGCGGCACCGCTGCAGGTGCTGGTGGGTCCGACTCTTCTGCTTGGCCACGCGGACGGCGGCGGGCGAGCAGCCGCGCAGCCCCAGGCCCTGGCACACCAGCGCCGCCAGCACCACGCAGTCGTCCCAGTAGGAGAGGCAGGCGTGGGGCCGCAGTCCCTGGGAGCGCACCAGCTCCAGCACCCGCTCCGCGTGCTCCTCATCCCGCCGGTGCTCCCGGCTGTCGTAGGGCAGGAAGGTCTGGACCAACCCCGCCGCGAAGTGCTCCGGGTCCGACTCCACCAGGTGGATCTGCGTCGCCAAAAGAGATGTCACCAGGACGCCCACCACCGCCGGCCGGGCCGCGGGCGCAGCTGCCGTGATGCGGCACCCGGTGGTCGCTCCGAAACCGCCGGGTGGCAGCGCCCCAAATCCTCCTCACCCTCAGCCCGTAGTCGCGAGCCGCCTCCCACACGAAGCTCTTGCTGACACCGCCGGCCCCGATGAGCAGGATGTCCTTGCCCTCCACCAAGTGACACTGCGCCCTGTGCAGCATGGCCTCGGCCAGCAGCCGGGGCAGGTCCCCGGGGGGCTCCCCCACGGCGCGCCCCATGGCCTCGGCCAGCACACAGGTCTCCAGGCATCGCTGGCTGTTGGTGGCCAGGGCCACCAGCTCCAGGGCGTCATCCACACATGCCAGCAAGAAGTCCACACCTGGGGACGGTGACAGTGATGGTGACGCAGCGCTTGGCACCGCGGGGTGACATCAGGGACCGGCACTGCCCCTCGCCACACTCACCCAGGATGTCGGTGCGGGCGCGGGTGCCACCGCGCTGCTGCGGGCTCAACTCGGCCTCAGCGGCCAACAGGGCGGCCATGGCGGCCTCAGTGGCCTCCCGGAGCCGCGTGGCCAGTGCCTGGCGCTGGCTGGGGGCCACCACCCCCCACTGCTGCAGGCTGGAGTCCAGGCCCTGGGGCAGTGCCGCCCCGTGCCGCACTGGGCTCTCCGCGCGTCCCACGGCACAGGCCACCTGCGGGGACACCGGCGCGGCCGTGGGGACACCAGCTGCCACCCCATTGCCTGGGGACGTGGGCTACCACAGTGACACAGGGACATAGATGGCCACGCAAGGTAGTGTGAACTATCCTGCCACCAGCTATGGGGATGTTGGCTGCCACGCCATAGCCTGGGTACCCAGCTGCCGCCAGGGAATGGGGACATGGGGTGACCCAAGGACGGGGGTACGGATGGACACCATAGCCAGGGGACATGGGGATATGTGCTGTCGTGTTAGTAGCTTGGGAGCACCAGGTGCCACCATAGCTTGGGGACATGTGGGGCCACCAGGACATGGATGGCCACCATAGCCTGGGAACACACAGGGCAACAGGGGCGTGGAGACCTGGGCTGCTGTGTCATAGCCTGGGGAACATGGGCTGCCACCAGGGCGTGGGAACAAGGATAGCTTGGGGATATGTGGGGCCACCAGGAGTTGGGGACCCACCGTACCTGGCAGAGCTGGGGCCGGTCCCCCCAGGACCTGCAGACCAGGGTGCAGATGCGCAGGGCCATGGGCAGCCGCGGGGCTGGGCTGCCTGGGGGGCGAGGGACAGGGCAGGCACTGTCCCTGCCCAACCCCCCCTCTCCTCCAGGGGCTTTGGGGACCCCCCAGTGGCACCACGGTGGCCCTGGCCAACCCCAGCCCCAGGGGAGTGTGGGGTACAGATGGTCATTTTCACCCCCAGCCCCAGGGGACTGTCAGGAGGCAAAGGGGGTCACTTTCCTTCCCACCCCAGGAGGCCGTGAGGGTCCAAGGCGCCCTTCCCTCCCACCGCAAGTGACTGTGGGAGTCTGGGGTGCCCTTCCCTCCCACCTCACGAGACCTGGGAGTCCGGGGTGCCCTTCCCTCCCACCCCAGGTGACCATGGGGGTTCATGGTGACTTCCCCCTCCAACCAGGGACTATGGGGGTCCAGGGTTACCACTCTCGTACCCACCCCCAGGATCCCCAGGGTTTGGGCCTCCCGATGACCCTCCATCCACCCCCGGGGACAG